TGAAAGCACTCAAGATTAGACTAAATAAAGTTACAGATTCATTTACTGTCACTGCCATATCTTTAAAGTTCAAAACTCTCTCTCTCCCCCCCCCCCCTCTCTCTCTCTCTCTCTCTCTCTCTCTCTCTCTCTCTCTCTCTCTCTCTCTCTGCTGGATTTGATGTCAGTGCTGTGACAGCAATAAAAAGGGAATGAGGAGAGGAAAAAAGAACAGCCAGTAACTAATGAGCTTTACATAAATATATGCTGAAGCAATTAAGCAGTGTTAATTACTATGACAGCAGTTAATTGAATATAATTAGATATTTTAAGCCACTGACTAATGCACAGTTAAGATTAATTTTATTGAGATTAATTGTAAATAAGAATAGATTAACTGTGTTTTGACAGGCAAGTAGAAGAGCAGGAATCACCAAAACCCCTCAAAATCATATATTATTTTAATGTCACAGCTCAGACCCATCTCCTCAATAAACATGAGTTTTCAAACCCAAACATACAGGAACCTTGAAGAAAAACAAACAAATTTCAGAAATTAAAGAGTCTTTGTCCTTTTTTCATGTGCATTTCTTTTAGCAGACTAAATTAAGCAAATCTGGTGTACGTTTTTAGGAAGGAACATTTCACAGTGAATGGAAAAATGTTATATCATATATGAAATTCATGCAGCTGTGCGGAACTTGGTCCAGCTGGTCTAAGCCTACAAAGCACCATCAAAATGATAGTGAATAAGGCCTTCCCAAAATGTAATGAAGTCGCAACCTTGTATGTGACCTAAATTTTCTGCCATCTATGCTTTCCTGCTTGATCTCTTTCCATTTTTAACTAATCATGAATATTCAAAAGACCACTATTAAAAAAAAAAGACACCACCAACTCACATCCACTTTAAAACACTGAAATCAGAAAAATATCCCTTTGCTTTAAAAATGCAATACAACCAACATCATTCATACTCAATAGCAGACTTTTATATCACTTATGCTAATTAGCTCAAAATGCTTACTTTTAGATATTGGTTTTCAAAGCGAGAGAGACAGGTAGACAGGGAGAGATACAGAGAGAGATCTAAAGAATACTCACTGCAAAATAATCCAAGCATGCTGTTGTTGTATGTATGTATGTTAACAAATCACTGACAAGAAAGGAGCCTCAATTGATTTCAAAATAAATCAATAAGTGATTAACACAATATTCTTAAAGCACTACAATGTATATTTAATATAAATGTATACATTCAATACCTTGTTATCTCTAAATTGAGAAAGTCTTTACAATATTGTGCATGCCCCTATATTGACTAGCAACTTCTTTGCAATGCCTTTCATCTTTTAGAGTGAAAATCCAAAAATGGTCTGTGAAACAAGGCTACAACAAGCCATTCTGCAGTGAAAGATTTTAAATCATCCAGCCTCTTCTAATAGACTTGAGACTTATTGAGGTAGAAACCATAAAAAATGAAGAAGGGAAATTTAATCCCTGAAATATTGATTTGCACATTAATATCATATAGGCAGAGGGCAATTTGGCTTCATGGAAATGACACATTGTCGACCCTTGGTGAAGTCAGAGCCAATCTAACTGCTGAACATGTCTGAATCTCAAGAGTTATTAAGGGCTTCCCTTCTTGCCTATATGACTTTTCTCCAGCCTACCAATGCAATCTTAAATGTATTATCTTTAAGAAATAATTGTAAAACCTCAGGGGTTTTCCAGTTAATGGAAGGAAGGCTAAACCACATCAGATTCTGAAATGCAACATTAAACCCTTGCAATCAACAAAACCACCTCAATTCTCATCCATCCAGTGCAGGATCTAATACTGTTATTAGAGATAATCAAATTTCATTGTGTAAATTTAGGCTCATGGTCAGAATGGAAGCAGTAAATTCTGCAATATTAAACAGTGATTTTCTCAGCACTTCTTTACATGGTCTCTGCTGGCAAACAATAAAATCTTTAGAACAGAAAGACAACCTCCTATCTACTATGAAAGGTAGAAGGGATGCGCATCTTTCCCTTACCAAATGCATTTAGAAAACAACCTAATATCACTTCAAAACATACCAATCAGGCACTACCATTACTACTATTGTGACTTCTATAGATGGTTTGCTTGACCTTTCTTTGTTCTTTGGGTACATTTCACTTTTGAAGATTTATGACTATTCCCTCCCCTATTTAATTGACCCTATATGTTTATTTCCATAAGAGAAAAACAACTGAGTCCATGTTTATGGTGCAGAAACCCTTCTAAGCCCAAGGCAATGCCTGTAGGATGCTACAGTCACAGTGTGTAGATCCTACAGTATGAATATTCAGCCAGGCTCAATGAATAATCCGAGTGAGCCCCAGCACTCAAGCCAGGTGCAAGAGGTTAAAACAGCTGGCTAGCCATCTTTCACTTTGGTATGCTTTCCTGCTGCCTGAAACTGCCTGAGATTCCTCTTCATATACTGTTCTTATTCCAGTTGTATTCTGCTTTTTCTAGCACCCCATCGCAGAGAAGAAAGGGGAACTCTTTCCAAGTAGCAAGTTGAATAGGAAATAGAACAATCATATTTAAAGGGTCTTTTTCTTTCCTCCTCCAACCCTCCTGCCTTGTTTGTTTTAAGAATTTTCCATTCCCCCCTCTTTTCCATCTAGTCTTTAAAAAGCAAAGTCCCTTCTCGCTAGCCTTGTTCTGTCAGTTTGTCAGTAAATAGAAAGTAAAACAAGGGTTGATGGCACTGAGAGTGTTACATACCCAGACTGTGTTTTTGCATTGCTCTCAATGGAAACGATCGATGCCCATGTCACAGTGGTGTCCCAATCGCAGCCAAGTCTCTGCCTCAATCTAACCAACAACAGGCAGGGCTTCCAAGGCTGCTGCTCACTACCTCTTGCTTCCATCCATCCACTTAGACATCCACCAAACTCTTAAAGACAGAATAAACTACAATCTGCTCTTCAACCACCGCTCCTAAGGATCGAGCCACTGGAAATCCTTCCAAAGGGGAATCACAATTTCAAACATAAATATAAGAGATATTTATCCACCTTCAACATCATCAACCCTCTCCTTTTTTCCTCCTCTGTTTCTCTCTTTCTTTCCCTCTCCTTTGCCAGCTACCTGATCCTTGATTAAAAATGGAACAGGGATAATAATAATATGAAAAAGGCGATCAGAATGGAGGAGAGGAAATGCAACTGTCAGATAAAGGGATAGTCAGACTTCCTGGGTGACCCTGGCGGGGTCTGCCTCAATGTAAATCCACCATCTTCAGCCTGGCAAGTTGTCTTTGGGTTGAGAGGCGCGCTTTTTTTTTTTTTTTTTTTTTTTTTGGGGGGGGGGGGTGGGGGGGGGGGGGGGGGAAGGGGGTGTTATGTTTGCGATGTATGCCTTGGTACCTAAGGTGGAAGAAGAGGAGGAGGAGGAGAACAGGAGGAGGAGGAGGAGGAGGGTGTGTGTTATTGAATGGGAGCGAAAAAGCCTCCTCGGGACGGCGCGGAGGCTGAACCCGGCTTGCTGAGCCTCTTCTCTCGGCTGGGCCCAGTGCCCCGAGCAGCCGATGAGATCGAGACCCCCCTCCCCCTCCGGCTGGCAGGTAACAAAAGAAATACATAAGCGTGTGTTCGGGGGGGGGCGAGGGGTAGGACTGGGGCGCTGGGGGGCAGGGTGGGTAAGGCTGGGGGGCAGGAGCGTGAGCTGGCATCGGTGGGGTAAAGTTTCCGGTCCCCATGTTTACAAGCGGTTGTAAGGTTGCAAAGGCAGGAGGGGTGAGCACAGGCGCGCCTGCCATTAGCCACCCTGCTAAGGGATGCACTCGCCGCGGAGCCAGAGCAGAGCCGGAGCCGGAGCCGCGCCGCTAGGTCCGAGCCGCCGACTTCGCTCTCGCCCCGCGTGGAAAGAGGGTGCGGATCGAGGGAGACGGGCGAAACGGGAGGGAAGAAAATCTTGGCCAGAATCCGATTAAAACAACGCCGGAGCCCAACGCGGGGAGGGAGGGAGGCAGGCAGGCAGGCAGGCAGGAGGCGGGGAGGAAGGAAGCCTGCTGCCCTTTCACAAAGGGAAGCGATGGTCGAAGCTTGCCCAGCCCCGGCAAGCAGCGGCTAGAACGGCACCTCCGGCGAGCGAGGGGCGAGTCAGGCAGCCGGGCTGCGGGCAGCGCTCAGCGCGCCGGGACGGACACACAAGGCGAGCGGGCAGCCCGCTCCGCTAGCGGGCTCCTCTCTACTTCTCCTGCTGCTGCTGCTGCTGCCGCCGCCGCCGCCGCCGCCAGCGACGGCTCTCGCCCTGCCCGGCTGCTCCAAACGCAGCACCCAACATCCAGACCGCGCGCGCACCGCACACACGCAGGGAAGGGGGGGGGCTCGGTCCCACTGGCACTCGCACCCCGCTTATCCGGAACTAGAGACGAATCTCTGACCCCCCGAGGCACCCTAAACTTTCCCCAGAGGCATCACGCTTCGGAGTCCGGGGTTAAAGTGGTGGAGGGGGTGGGGAGGGAAGGAGAATGGATAGGCAAAGACTTTTGACAGCCGTGCCGTGGTTCCAAACAAGACCATTTCCCAGCTCGTTTAAAAAGAAAAAGGAAACAAAAAGCGCCAGAAAGAACCTCTTCTGCCAATTAAGATCCTTCACTTAATCCAAAAGTTACACGCTGAAAAAACCGACACCCCCACCCCACCCTCCGGAATTTAAAAAGAGAAAGACAGAGAATGAACCCCTCCTTCCCTAAAGCGGTACCTAAAAATGGGGAAAAGGGAAAAAAAGGGGGGCGAGAGAGAAGAGATAGAGAGGATCTGGGGATGGGAGTGTGTGTGAGAGAGGGAGAGAGAGAGAGCGAGAGGGAGAGAGAGCGAGAGGAGAGAGAGCGAGAGGGAGAGAGAGAGAAAGAGGCAGGCAGAGAGCGAGAGCGAAATATCAAAGATTGTGCAAGATCAGCCTGGAAAGATAATCGATACTCGACCTAAATTTAACACAAACTACTCAATAAAAGTTAAAGAAAAAAACTTACTTTCCATTTCCCCTCGCAGTTCTTACTGGATCTTCGCCTCTCTGTTTTGCTTTATTTACTTAACAGCTGATCACATCCAAGTAAACGACAGAAGGTTCATTAAAAAATAAAAAAAATAATCCTCCAACTTTATTGGGTGAAAATAAAAATGATTGAGCAAGAAGTGGGGGGCATGGAGCGGTCCTTTGGGGTCCGGGAGTTGTTAAAGCATGTGGCGACCGCGGTCTCGCTGTTTGGTTGTGAAGGGGTTGGGAAAAGGAGGAAAGGAAATGAAAATCCGATATGTCTTTATTCTGCTAATTATTATCGTTTTAGCCCTGTTTAAAAAAATGGCTGATTAAGTTGAGTGCGCATGTCTTTGTGTGTCTATTCCCGATATGCACTCTGGGAATGAGAGAGAGAGCGAGCGGGGGGGGGGAGAGAAAGAGAGAAGAGAGAGGTGTAATTAGTGAGGTGATCAACATTCTCCAGACTGCAAATGACGCGCAGCCCGGACTTACTGCCGCTGCTGCTGGGGGCTCGTAGGGGCTGCGGGAGCCACACCACTGGCCCCAAAGCAGAACGGGCAGTAGGGAAGCAGCTCATGGACACAAACACAAGTCTGCAAACTTCATTAGTAACACAGACACACACACACAGACACACAAATAGATGGCTGGGGAAAATTAGAGAGAGAGAGGGAGAGAAGAGGCTGAGAGGAAGGAAAGAAGATTTGCTGTTCTTAACTGCTCAGGAATGTGAAAAGATATGGGTGCAAATTAATTATTCCTCCCACCAGGGAAGTTCTTTCTTTCTCTCTCTTCTCCCCCCCCCTTCCTTTTTTTTTTTTTTTAAAGGAAGAAAATATGCCTGGGATAATGAACGTGGAATGTGCCTCTGTATGGAAAGGGAGTGAGTCTGAGATCAGAAATTTGTACTCTTATAGCCATAGAGAATCATTTACATATTATTGAGGATTTATTTACACATATGCATACACATTCTACATACAGTGACATTATATATCTCCTAGTATCTATAGCTCAGGTATACACATAAGACATATGCATTATTGCATACACACATGGCAGTTTAATCTCCCTGGTGTAACTGGTTGAACAGCTCAACAAAACTAAGTTTATAAAAGCAACCAGTATTTTTAGTGTGTAATAGCAACAGTAAACAGATTTAGCAAAGGAAAAGCTATCCCAGGGCAACTACCTGCCTTTTCCCCATGGAAGCAGAAAAAGGGTGATTATATTTGTCTTTAGGATTACCAGAGATAATGCTCGAGATGAAAAGAATATGTGGCATTGACTATAGGCAATAATGTATAGGCACTATTATAAATAAGAATCTCCTAAGGGTTGTTTTTTTTTTTTTTTTGCAAGTGAGGGAAAGCAATCACTTCTCATTTGAAAACCTAATTATCTTAACCTAATACTACAGATGTGATGTGAATATGAGTGACACTTTCATTAAAACATAATTAACTAAAACTAGGAATCGAGATACCTTTAAATACCCCTAGTGCAGATTAAAAATCATGTCTATTCAAAGAGCATCCAAACACAGTGCAGGGACACCTGCCTCCTCCCTCCATGATCATTCCACACACACACACACACACACACACACACACACACACACTCTAATATTATAGAAACTGAAAGGCCAAAAAAGATCAGTAAGTAATGCTTAAATATAAAGGATATTTACAGTCTCAAAGACCTTGCGCAGGTGAACCATAACCTTAGAGCTGACAGTGCCTTTGAAGTTCCTGATTCCTGGGATACACGTCAAAACCTTGTCTTAGGCCTTAAGCACTAAATACCAACAGAAAGGTTTAATAAAATCCTCCATAAAAACAAGGTATAAATATGCATCTTTTGGGGGCCTTAAACCATCCAATCTAGAAAAACATTTGGCAAATCCTGAAGCTAATACTAAGAGGAAAATCTCCACCTGATGATGAATGAAGGGCTTGCCAGGAATGGGGCTGCACAGGCCACAGATAGGGAGCTGCATGTAAAAAGCAGATGTTTTAAGGTCACAGTGAACATCCCTCAGACTTGGGAGGGGGGAAATGTGCTCACTTGGAAGTCCATGGGCAACCCAAAAGATTAGGAGACTTCATAAGAGCAGAATGAAAAGTAGCCACATCCAGCAAATTTCGAGAAAACATTTGAGGCTAAGATTTAATTTCAAGCACAGAAGACTTCTGGATTTTTTTTAAGCTTGTGCATGAAAATATTTGCATGTGTATCAGAAAGCTAAGATTAAAAAAAGGAAGTGATAGTCCGGCCCAGTTGTTTGCAGAGAGGGACCAGCCATGCTGACAATGGCTAATATAAAATCTCCCAAACCCGTTTTCAGTAAGATTGGGCAACTCAAAAAGAGGAAAAGGTGCTTTTGGCTCTTATTGAAGTGGAAGGAGAATGTCGCTAGAAGAATGCATTGGACAGTCAAGGATATGTCTCAAGGATGGCAGTCCATTTCCCAGTCCTGGAGACAATTAAATCCAATCTGATGAAGGAACACCTGAGCACAATGCCTCAGATTCAAATTCAAGTGAAAAAACAGATACAGTTTACATAGCATGACTTTATGGAATCATAGAGAACGGAATTACAAAAATACTTGTTCTGTAGATTTCTACTGTTTGAAATGGCAAGATTATTAGAAACTCCGACGTTCAGTTGATCACAGAAGCCACTTTTTGATGCAAATTTTCCTCTTGCCCTTATAGGAACGCAGTTTTTTTTTAAACAGTAGTTCTTTCAAAGGAACAAAGGGGAATGCAAGCAGGAATTAACAAAGGAGAGCCCACTTTTCCAGGTTTCTCCCATCACTATGTATTTCTTCCTACGTTTTTGTCTCGCTCCCCATCCTCCTACCCCTCATCTCCTTTTCGTTCCCAAGCCCCAGCTTTTCCTAAAATAGTAGCTATTGGGATAGAAAAGGCACTCTGGGATGTTAACAGTTTAGAAGAAAACCCAGGATCGCCACGTAGCTAGGAAAAAATCGAAGGAGGTTAATTCCGAGAGGCAGCAGCAGGTTTGTGAGTTTGTGAGTGTGTGTGTGTGTGTGTGAGAGAGAGAGAGAGAGAGAGAGAGATGGGGGGTGGGGAAGATATGAGCGGAGCACGGCTCTGGCACGGGAGGCAAGCAGCAGCCAGGAGCACCCGGGGGCTGGATCGTTGACTGGCTGGCTGGCTGTTTCAAGAGGGTTTCCCCAGAAGCTCGGCCAGGGTTGCAAGCTGCTTCCCCCTCCCTTTCTGGCTCTCTTTCTCCTGCTTGCTCAGCTGATCGCCCCCAAGACCTCTGCCTAACCTCTCGGCTCCTTTTTCTCTGGTCCCTAGGGCACCCCTCCCAGGAAAACTTCTCAAGGCAAGCCACCCAGATACTGGCTGGGGGGCGGGGGCGGCTCTTCCCAAGGGAGAGAAATAAAGTATTATCTTCCAAGCAAAGAAGGAGAGCATAGCGAGAGATCGAGCTAATGACGTTGTATTGCATGAAGGTGGGGGAAGAATAGACTGTCCGGTGTCAGATGCCAGTGCCACGAATCTGAGGTAAAGCAACTCACCGGCCCTCCTGAACAAGGGTTTCAGAGCCAACTTTGGCCACTCTGACAAGGACGGTGCCAAGGCAACTGAGAGACTTTTGCGTTGCGCCGCCTCGCCTTCGCCCAAACCGGAGTAGAGGACGCACAGGGCCAGGAGGAGGATATACATAATTACAACCTCCCCTCTTTTTAATAACCCGACATAAATCCCTAATAAATGGTCCGCCTCTCCCTCCCTCCTTCAGCCCAAGGGAAAGAGGATCCGTGCCTTTTGAAAGCGCTCCCTAAGTCTATAGATGAGCTCAGTTTGAAACGAGGTATTACAAGATCTCAGTGTTAGAGACCCCTTTATCTAAGCTACAGACACTTTCAGATCCCTAGACCCCCTCCTTCCTCTGCCTTTTTGTTGTCTCTTTTCCTCCCGGGGGCTATTTGACAAAGGCAGTATGTTAACTAACATTTTTGTTTAAATCAGCAACTTCGTTTCAAAACACACTTTGAAAAACTGAGAGCAATGCTCGGGACCTTTTGGGAAAGAGGAGAAGTTAACACTACGGTAAAACTACAAGAATTAACAGCATTATTTTCTTTAAACACAGCCCCGAATTCAGCAAAACCTTGAACAAGATTAGTGGAAATGAAGGTTCCCTTTCTAGTTGGTGGTGGTGGTGGTGTTTTCAGAGCGTAACGAAGTGCATTTAATAACTGTCCATTGCCCAGCTCAGTTTTGCGACTGCAGAACCTCTCCGGTGCAATGGAAGGAACGGGGGAGGGGGAAACTTGCTATAAAATCCGACCAGGCCGGGCATTCCGACAAAACCGTGCCTGCAAACGGAGGTGCAGCTCCTGATTGGCCTTTTTGTGTGCTGGTGAGGTGCACCACACGCCTTGCACGCCGACTCGCTACCAGAAATAACCGCTTCCACTGCTGGCGTTTCCACCTTCTGCCCAGCCTTAGACCACAATTCTTCCTCAGCTGCTTTCTTGAGTAGGTCGCAAGCTTTAAATACCCTGAACCTGAGCTTCTTGACTTGGATGGGAAAGGGAAGCGCGCGCGCACACACGCACACACACACGCACACACACACACGCACGCACTGCGAGTGGTGGGTGAAGGGCCAGGCGCCCTCTGGGCTTTTAGAGGTCAGCGCTTTGACAGTGCTTTGACCTCCCTTCTCCTCCCGGCAGCCGCCCTCGTGTTTATAAACAAAAACAGCCAGGAGGACTAGCCCCAAACAATAGCAATTCACCAACTTCACAGACACTTCGCCAGCTCTTATGCAAATCCCGAAAAATGACCGCTTACCGACCATTCTTTCCCTCCCCACAGGACAACAAGCCCCCCCCAGAAAGCCCCAGAGCCCAGTTCCAGCAGTGCTATAGCCAACGGAACTGCTCTACCTTCCATTCTGGAAAGGGCGGCGAGGGAGGGGGAAGAGAGAGACGGGAAGAGATACCTAAACTGAAACGATCGGATAAAAAAGGACTAAATTTGCACAAGAAACCTCCTCCAACCAATAAAACTACCCACCTTAGCGTACAGGCAAGAAAGTAAATTTATACCTAAAACCAACAGTTCACAATGGCAATAAAATAGGAATCGTTGTTGTGTAAGACAATATGCTAAACTACCTCTGCGGCAAACAGTGATTATAAAATATCCAGGAAAAAAGTTATTTTCGCCCAAGGAGCCAAGTTTTCAAAAGAAAAAGTGTAGATTTTACAACTAAATAAAAGCCACCACCTCTGTGTTGTCCGTAAAAACTACACATAAATTAAAAGAACCGTTAAAAGAAAGCCTGGAGCAAGCAACA